CGAAGATGTCAGCAAAGCCCCTCGTGCTGAAGTTTTGGCGGAAGCAAGTTGTCATAGTCATTAAAGATATCGACGAAGATATGTCATCGGTGCTGACATCAGAGATGTTGGAGAATCCCCTCTACCAGTTGGCATCAAAGGTCAGTCATTGCAATCACCGAAGATGATGTTGAGGCCCCTCGCATTGAAGTGTTGACGTGGGTGAGTCATTGTAGTCATTGAAGTGTTGGTGAAGCCCCTCCTGCTAAAAAGTTTGCCGAGGGTGATGTTGGGGGAGACCATGTGGTATATGGGCCAAGTCTCCTCCTAGAAAAGGCCCAACTAGTAGCTAGAGTAGTGTCATATGAAATCCAACCCCACCAAGGGGCCACATGTAAATACCCATTGCCTATAGAAGTGTCCAAGGGTATGAGGGCAAGGGACCTCACCTCCAACTTATTTCTACTTGTTCAAAACCTTAGTCTGTCTCCCTCTCTCTCTCATTTGGAACCGCCAGTTTTAGCATAATGGACTTGAAAACATATTCTCCTAGATATTATGCATGTATTTGTGTAGTTGTGTTTATAAAACTTTTGTCTAGTTAAATATTTCTGTGCATAATTCATTATGAATTTCATGTTATCTATAAAACTGCTAAATGAATAGCTTTTTCTATAGCCCGCTATAGCTTTTTATAACTTTTGGAGAAGGTCACCACTAAATATCATAGCCCTCTATTTAAAACATTAGTCAACGGGTGGTGACAACTTCCTCTGCCCCTTGGCAAAGTGCTTCTCCCATCACCTGCCCAGCAACATGACTTCCACACTCGCCATGCCGAGCACCACCCCACACCAGCCACACCCACGTGCCATGCTGAAGCGACGTAGCGGGATCCTCTACCACCACCGCTAGCTGCTATGCCCTGATAAGCGATGGTGACGACTTTCTTCAATCGCTCGATGAAGTGCTTCTCCCATTGTCTGCCTAGCAATAACGCCTCCACGCTCACCAAACCCAGCACACTCTTCTTCCCCAACACTAAGATCATTCCTCCCAACTTGTCTACTCGGATGCTGGTACCTGGTGACTAGAAGACTGTGCTCTACAAGCATTGGGCCAAAGCAGGCTCATGTGCATGAGGTGCCGACTATAGCTTCGCACATGGCCTCGACGACATGCAAAGGGTTGATCCTAGGGCGACGTACCTCAACGTGCATAGCTCAGCCAGAAACAGCACTCTACAGACCCAATGTCCTGCCCATTGGGGGTGAATTGCCTATTTGCGAATGGCAAGGAGGAAATTCATCGAGGCTTCATATGCCTGTAGCTATTGTAAAGTTGAGATGGTTGTAGCTCCTATATTCTCATGGTTGTAGCTGCTCGATACTGGCAGCATGTCTGTATGCTGATGGTAGATGAACTTCTTCGAGTCTTTGAGCCATGAGAATTATCTATACGCGAGGAACTACTTTGAGTCTTTGAGCCATGAGATAGTCATAACTCTTGAAGTCCTTGAGTCATGCCTGACAATGTTCGCTTGTGTTCACTTGTGTTCGCTTGTGGGTCTATTGTTTGTATGTGCTTCTGATGGTTCAATGTCAGAGTACACTGGTGCCAAGGCCAACATCGGTTGAGATGTGAGATGTTTAGTTAGATGTTATCCTTTTATTCCATCTCAACAGAACTCAGATAGTGCCTCCATGACATCCTCGATAGTCTTTTTCTTTTCTCCATCACTAACTTAAACTAGTTAACTTCACACTTGTCGAAGAACAACCACATCTTCCCTTGTTTGCATTGGAGTTCTCTATGATTAATGCATGCAATATTACCTTCCAAGCTTAATTTCAGATGGTCAATGCGTTAAAGAGTGAAGTCCCCAAATTAGTCACTAAATTTAAAAGACTTCGTCGAATTTCAATGATGAACAACAAACACACCTTAACTTTTAAATCCACAAAAAATACCCCCTGGACCATCTCAAAGTGGTTTCTAGGTGGTTTTGCTGATGTGGTAGTGGGACCCACCTATCATTTGGGCTCTCTTGCTCTATGTTAAAAGCATAACATTTTCGTATGAAGTCGTATGAATACAAACTTTATATCAAAGTTGTAGATCTCAACACGATCTACAACTTTGTAGTTGATAACTTTTATTTAATATATTTTAGAGGCTCAAATATTTGATTTAAGTTACTAGTAGATTTTAAAACTCAATTTTTGAATTTTTGAAAGCATCTCGGATGTTGACATAGTTGATAGGACCTAGATGGCTAGATGGGGTGAATAGCCTATAAAATTTCTCTACAAATACACCAACACTAGAGCAAAGGTTGATAGTACAATATGAGGCCTTGCTAGCAACTGCTTTCTCTAGCTCTATTTCGCTCAATGCAAGCCCCTACACAATTCTAGTAGCTTGGTTTCTAGTCTATGTCACAACAACACACAAGCTACACCTACCAAGGACTACACTAGAGAGCTACTAAACTAGGTAACTACCACTAGTTACAACTACAATTACCACTAAACTAGGCTAGCAAGCTAGACAAACACTACCACTCACAAGCAAGCTATGAATGTAAATACAAGAGATATTAGAGAGCAAACCAACAAGGGCAAGTGATAGAGAATGATTTATGCCCGTGGTTCAGTTGTTTGCCAGCAACTTAGTCCACATTGTGGCGAGTCCCTAAATGATGATTCGAGCACTCACTAGCATAAAAAGTTAGACCCACAAATTGGGTGCCTCAAGAATCAATCAAGTAGTCTACTCCAACTAGCAACGCACATTCCACTAGTGTATTCCTTTGCACTCCACGAGTTGCGATCAAAACCTCTCACAATATCAACCGGTCGGAGGCAAAGAACAATCACCAATAATCTTCCTCAACGACCCACAACTGCTCCAAGCCGTCTAGGTAGCGGCAACCACCAAGAGTAACAAGAAAATTGCAGCCAAACCGATGAACTAGTGCCACTAGATACAACAACTCTAAGCAAATGCACTAGATCTCTCTCAATCTCAATTTGGATAAAGCACGAGGCAAAGAGATGAGTGAGAGGTGTTTTCACAAGCTCATAAGGGTGCTCGACCAGTTAGAATGCCAAGAGAGAGCTCCCACAACCGGTGCCCTTCTATTTATAACACCCCCTTTGAGACTAGCCATTGGAAATTGTTGCTGGGCCTTCTACGGGGGCATCGGTCCGGTCAATGCCACCCTATTGGACTAAGAGCTATGTTGTATGAGGGCGTAGTGCATGGTCCGATGCACTCGTGCTCCTCAGTCCAATGCTCGTGTGCGCGCCAGTGAAGGAAATTAGCCGTTCACCGTGTCAATGGATAGCACAACGCATGGTCCGACGTCGCCAATCCGATGTCCATCGGACCAATGCCCTGCACGGTCTGATGTCCACTAGAGAGGTTCCAAAGAGCATTTTTGGCCATCGAATTGAGCCAATGCTTCACATCGGACCAGTCCAATGCCTCCTTTGAATCTCCCGCGAGCTGACAAGTGGACCCACCCTGAGGAACAGTATTAGCGCATAGTCTAATGGTGCCCTGAGGACATCCATTGTACCATACCTCTCAGTTTGAGTGACTCAGAGGCGCCCTTGGTTAGGGTTTACTACCCATCAGACTGAGTAGGCATCTGCCAGTCCAATGCCTTACCCTAGTCTTGCCGAGCTGCTACACGTAGCGCATGGTCCTATGCCCTTCACTGGTCTAGTCCAATGGTGCATAGGAACCCTTTTAAAGCTCGGTTTTCACCTTTTTTCAAATGTGCCAACTCCACAAGTGTCCCAACAAGTGTGCAAGTGAGTTAGTATTTTCACAAATAATTTTCAAAGGGTTTTGCACATCCTCACTAGGTCAAATGCATATGCGAAGAATTAATCCACTTAGTGGCACTTAGATAACCAATTTGAACTTTGGAGTTCCCCTCTTAATAATACGACTATCTATCCTAAACCCGATCACGCACTCTATTGCGTCTTGACCGCAAAACAAAGAGCCCTATCATATACCTTTGCCTTTAGCCATAGGGTTTTGTTTTTCTCTTTTTTTTTCCAAGAATTGAGCACTTGATCACTTGTGGACACCATCATCATCTCCATAAATGTTACTCTTGCTCAACCTAGGTGTGGACATAACATATCTCAATCACAACACTTAGGATAAAGGTTAGTCCACTAGTTGTCTCAATTACTAAAACCAAACATAGGGGTTTTAATAGTCATATCAAAGTTAGTTTCTAGTAAAGTATACAACTTTGTAGTTATAATTTTTTATCTGAGATCGTTTAGAGGTCCAAATGTTCAATTTAAGTTCTCTAATTTTGATTTTTTTCAAACAACCTCCCATATAGGCGTGGTCTGCGCCAAAGTTGTAGTTCTCAATGTGAAATATAACTTTGCAGTTGACAATATTTACTTGAGATCATATAAAGGCCTAGATTTTTGTCGTGTGGAAAATTTAAATAGTTGAATTACAAAATCTGAGAATTTAAAATGAATATTTATGTCTCTAAATGATCCTAAATAAAAACTATAAAGTTGTAGAACATATTAGTTCAACTCAATAAGTTTTACTTGAACCTAATAACCTAGAGGACGCAATACTTATGTGGTGTTTGGTTTGAGGAATAAGTTAGTCCATCATCTACTCATTTCTCACTTTTTGTTTACTTTATGAAATGGAATGGGTTGGTTCATGGTTATTTTATTCCTCACAAGCTAATAATTAGTACTAGTACGAGAAATGCAATTATTGTACTAAATTTGGGAAAATAGACTCCTGGTACATCACCTTATTTAGGATGAAGTGATTTCTCAAATCAAATACTCTATTGCATCGCTAAGGGTACCTGATGTCACTCTGATAGTCTGATCGCCCTAACACCCCCGAAGAGAATCAAAAGACTAAAGATTGCCTAGCATGTGGCAGACTAGGTGCAACACCTTACTATGCCACTATTATACACTTATTTTTCATCCTACCCCAAGACAGAGACCATGCTAACCAGGGCGATGGAACACATGCCAACTCCAATTCTGAGATGGAGCAGCCTCGGGATGTGTAGGTTCAGCACTAAGGGCATGCCCAACAGAGCCGCCATATGGGTAGCAGCATGAGTGAGCAGTGGCAGCACAACCTGGGGAAAATCCCAGGCAATATCGGCAACAGTTTGGAGAAGCAAGGTTGCCGTTGGACGAAAACTGAGCAAGTTCTTTCAACGAGCAGGTCCAAGCTGGTACGATACTTCCTTGCCGGCCAGACAACAACTTGTCATCACTCTGCACTGGTGGCCATCTGACCATGCACTCGTTACCGTCCGGTGAGATATACCCAATGAGGCATTCGAAGAACAACGTGTTATCTACGATGACTCCGAATTTCCGGACCGTATTGACGACCTCAGATTCTTCATAGTCGTCACCCAATGGACCAACAGATATCTTCAACATGTCGCCAACCCGGTAACTACGTTTACGAGACCCAAAGACCCGTTGGCAGAGAGGCTTGTACTTATAGGCACTTCTTGGTTTTGCTCTTGCAACATTCACCTGGACATGCATCGAGTACATTTATTTTTACAGAAATTTTACAATGGTTAGGATACTACTTTCGTTCATAAACAAACAAACAGATCCTGCATGCCAGTTTCCCTTCAGACAAAATGTTTGTATACCTGCTCGCCATTGATGACGTGGTGTGGGTCGGCGAGGGCACGGCCGGCGTCCGCGGGGCGGGGAAACTGGACGAACGCGAAGCCACGGGGAAGGCCGTTGAGCCTGTCCTTAGGCTGGCAGACGCCGGTCACCTCCCCGTAATGACAGAAGTGGCGGCGGAGGTCCTCGTCGCCGGTGCCCGGGGCGACGCCGCCCACGAAAAGCCTGCCGTTATTGTCCGGCAGCCCCATCGCCAGTGACTCGTTTGAGGCACCTCGATCGCCGGCGCCGGGGCTCGCTGCTGCTCCGAATCTCTCCGATCCGTGGATGCGACCAAGTGGAGGGGCTAGGAGGCGGCGACGGGGGTGTTGGGGCTTGAGCGACATCGTCCCAATTTATAGGATCGATTTCTTTTGATGATGCATATAGGGTTATTTTTAGGGTGGGCTTCCAAAATAAATGTCCGTGTCCGATCACAATACTAGTTCGAACCAAACACTATACCGCCATGTTTTGCATTGACGGGAGAAATACGAGCACACACTGTTCGTCTAAACGGTCGTTTAGCCTGTTTAAACACCGTGTAAACATTATACGGTGATGCTCCGTTTTCATTTAATCATCCGTTTAAATTGTTTAATGGACTGTTTAGCCCGAATACCATTTAGCGTTTAGGAAAACAAGAAGAATCATAGGAGGAGGGCGTTAAGCAGGTTGCCATGCATGAAGACGAGTCCTCTTATGATTCAACTAATTACCTAATTACACGAAGAGAAAGATCAAATTGCCAAAATTAACACCATACGTGTCCTAGAGGAAAGAAGAGGAAATTGCTTGACAACACGGGAGGGGCGATCGGACCAGAGTACACACACGCAAGACGGCAAGAGGAACTACGAAGAAGACGACAGCGACCTAACCTAGCTAGCGGCAACACGGACGGCCGTGCAGTGCATGCCGGCCGGCGTGGCGCGGCGCGGCGCGCCTAGGCGCCGGGTGCGGCGTCCTTGGAACGGTTGTGCAGGTAGCCGCCGTACTCGCGCGCGTAGTCCTTGACGTGGCTGGCCGTGTCGGCGATCCGGCTGCGCGCGTAGTCCACCCGGTCGGCGCCCACGGGGTGTCGGCCCGTGAAGTAGCGGTACATCCAGGTGCCCACGGCGAGCGCGGCGACGAGGAAGCCGCAGGCGGAGAGCGCGGCGGCGGTGAGGACGAAGAGCGCAACGGCGATGGGCACCCAGATGGGGCTGGTGAGCAGCGCGATGGGGCCCAGGAAGACGAGCGCCACGACGGCGCCCGTCAGCGTGAGCCCCGTGAGGAGCAGCAGCACGGCGCCGGAGACGAGCAGCGTCAGGAAGCCCACCACCTGCGTCGAGTTGGGCGCGTGGGTCTGCACCCGCCGCAGCAGCGTCGCCGACGAAGGCGGGTCCGCCGCCGGGTGCTCGCCGCCGCCGTGCCCGTGCCCGTGCCCGTGCTGCTGCCGATCTCCCATGCTCGCTCGCTCGCTCGCGCCCGCGTGGCCGGCTTTGAGGGAGTCCGGTCGGCGGTGTCGATCGGGGTGATGGCACTGTCTGTCTGGGTGGCAGCGGGGAAATGCCGGGGAGGAGTTAAAGGCGCGGAGAGGGACGTGCCCGCGCCGGCACGTTTCCGGGCGCCGCGCGTGCATGCGCGACGTGTGTGGCGGGCGAGCCGACCAACGGACGTACTGCCTCGCTCGCGCTGCACCTCCTGGCGGCCGTGCATTTTGTTCTCACCGTGCTCTTCGGATCACGCACTGCTTTGTCTGGGCCTTCCAGCCATCTACTACTCAGTGCCAGTATCTATATCTATGCTCACTGGCACGTGTGCAAGGGCATCGAGTCACGACATGGCGACGGCGCAGGTGGCCGGCACGCGTCACGGTCGCCATGTGGGCGGGGCAGGTTTTGTCGTGTGCGCTCGCACGGAGATGTCTATCTGGTTTTGAGAGACGCGCACTGGTGAGCTGAGCACCCGGCGGTGTTCACCGCGACAGGGCCGGCGTGGCACTCCAGCGGTGATTGCACGGCGGCAAGTTTCGTGGCCGGCCCCGAAGACGGCGGGCTGCGGGAATCCGGTGGGCTGGATCCTGCTTTACTTCGTGAACTTGAGATAAATTCGTTCGCAGACACGTCAGCGAGATGGGCCCAAACAATAAGCTCACAGTCACAGACGTGGTGCCCTATGCCCAAGTAATCACGATTCACGGCGACCTCGTCTCCTGTTTGGATTCCCCGGCAAGCGGCCGTGGCCGGATCCGGAACCCACGCGACGGTGACACTGCAACTGTGCTCGGAGGCGAAGCCAGCCGAGAGGTGAGGCCCGACCGCCGATGACTGGTAGGCGGCCAGCTCGCCGCAGCAGGCCACTGGAAGTGTTTGGTTCCACTTCCACGTTTAGGTGGAGCTCGCCGCCGCAACCTCGACCTTCTCCGTTCAGGTGAACTTTTGTCTTGGTATATGATTTTTCAAGTCAGATCTGCTATTCTAGCACTGTATGTGTGTGGGTGGTAACTGGTAACGGGTCAATTTCTTCAAAATATCGAATTTAGTGAGGCAGCATTTTTTTTTAACAAAGACTTGTTCATCTAGAGGAATTATCTCCATGGGTATCAGACTAGCAAAATGGACGCTTTTGACATTTTATTAGTAGTACGCAGTAGCAAAAGCATGCCCAGCTGAAATAAGCAGTTGCCAAACTATGCACCTAATGATTCATTTTCTGGAACGTATGTTTACAGTTACAACCTTTAAAAATGAAAAGGTAGCTTGCCTCAAAAAATAAAAATAAATGAAAAGGTAGCATATACAACTTGTTGATAACTTACCTACACAACTACACAAAACTGTTATACGTATGCACAGAACCTAATAACTTTACATTCTCTTAACATATACAACTTGCTTCACACAACACCAGGATTTAAACTTCTCTTTTGTACACTTACGCTACAAAACTAAAAATTGGTCTCCAGCAAGCAGGAGTGCAGGACCAGATGGTTGTTGAATCCTGTGTTCAACTTACGCTTCAGCCTTCAAATATCTGTGGAGCAGATGTCTGTGTAGTCATCTTGCTTCTTAGCTCGTCAAAAGCTTTCATGCTTTCTACATCAAAGCCCCCAGCAAACTGCAGAAGGTAGAGGAATGAGTTACTGATTCGAAGTCTTTAATTCACTTGTGAAGTATCTGGCTTTTGAATATATATAGATGTGAGGATTTTACCTGATGAACCCAGAAGGTGAACCTCACACCCTGGAGAAGCAAAAACTCTCTATTGGGTTCTTTCTCAGTGCCTTCCAATGCATCAACTTCTGAGGCAACCCTCTTCATATACTTGTTCGCATGCTGAACAGATGCCAATTTGATCTATTCCAACATGCAAATAATATATTGAGTTTATGTAGGTGCATACTTTGAGTAAAAGCATACTCAACTCTGTACGGAATTAAAAATGCTTGTTTTCTTTAACACAAGGTTGGCAAATTTGGAGTGTATGCTAGAGATGCACACCTTGCCAACTACTCCAGAATCAGACAGCCAGTCAAATGGGATCCCATACTCCATGTAGCGTGAGACGGTCATGTCTCTTGTATGGAGTAGTGCATAGACACTCTGCTCCACTCTAGCATAAGTATTTACGCTAGTTAGTACCATCACTTTGGGTAAAATTATGTTCATCACATACATATCTTAAACCAGGCAAAAATATTGTTGTTTCACTCTGAAGGACTATGTTAGAGAGAATACTAGGTCTGATGAGACACTTACTTTTCAAGCAAAGAATACATCTTCTTGAGAGCTTGTTCACATGCAAGTTGTGGATCATCGGTAAAGGATGAAACCTTGTTCTGTAACTTTATCAGATCCTGGTACTCAAAAGATGCTTCTCTTATTGCATCTGTTTTGCTCTCTAGCCAATCAAAATGCTTTAGCACTGCTCGCTCATCATCAACCTAAAATGTTGTTGATCCTCTTTAGCATTAGAACATGTGTCATAAGTACAATAACTGGTACTTTGTAACAAAGGTGTTGTATGAAGGGCATCTTCGGGCTGCTTACCAAGAAAGATAACTCCTCATCTAACCAATTTACAAATGCAACAACATCATCAATATTTACAAAGCTTGCTGCTTGGACCTCATTTGCTAGAGACTCAACAAATTCTCCTTGTGCCTCCACATCAGCTTTTACCTGAAGCATTCCATGTTTTTATAAAACATTTGTCACTTTTTATTATTATAAAATTTGATTACTAGTTATAATTATGCATTAATAGCGGAACTCATAAATTTGGCAGGATTCTTATGCAAGGTGGTGCCAGCAGAAAATACTTACAGCTAAGAGGAATGTTGATCTGTTCTCAATCTCTCCAATCATGTTACTCCTGGCATTAGAAACATTGGATGACATTGATCCTAAAGATGTCTCTCTTTTTGCTTCACGCTTCATGAGACTTTGATAGAACTCCACAATCTCCGACGCACAGTGTACCTTGTCACCCCCACCAAGATTCCTTGGTAGAGCACCTGGAGGTGGCGGTAGTGGCGGTGGGCCACCAGCTTTCCCTGGAGGTGGTGGTGGAGGAGGAGGTGCACCTGGTGCACGTGGCGTTTGTACTCCACTTGTAGTATTGGTAGCCCCTGAAGCAGTGGTTGATCGAGGGGGAGGTGGCCTGGGAACTCTTGTTGCTCTCTTCTCAATGTTGGCAAGCTTCATCTAACTCACCACCAGGGTGTTGTTTTGGTTGTCACTAGATTGCTCACTAGATTCAACATTAGTTGTAGGGGATCTCTCCTTGATTTGAGCAAGTTTCGGAGGGAGTGCACCTTTAGGAGAGGAAATAAGAGCTGAACTGTGTCCACCACCAAACCTTTGTGCTCTTGCTTGCCCAGCCTTCTCTTTTATCACCTTCTCCTGTTCAGTTGTAAGTTTGTGCCTATCTTTGTAAGAGGGATACTTCTCATCAACAAAACCTTCGACTGTCTTGGACATCAATTGGAATGAGGACGCGGCATTTTCATCGTCCAAGGCATCATTGGGATCCTTCTTTCCATATGTTGTTATGGTTGTACCATCTCCAGCATTTTTTAGCATGAGAGCTTCCAAGGGGGCCTTTGGTTTCCTTAGTGGAGAACCACTGATTGGGGGAGGCTAAACTACTGCTGTCATCCTTGCTCCTTTCCCACTTTTTGATTTTTTGCATCAGATTAGACCTTTTGCTTAGGAAGCTGTATCTG